CGAACAAAACATTCAGTAACAAAACAGAACAAAACAGAAATAGTAAGCCACTTTTAACCACTTTCAAGCCCATATCTCTTGCACCCTTATAGCTATCGAAACGCAACCATTCCTATGCACGAACGGAGAGTTGGGGCTACTACCACATTCAAACACCATTCACGTGCGATGCGTAGTTTTGGCGAAAAAGTGAAATATAGGAACATACATGTCCATTTATATATATATAGATATAGATATATCGATATTTTATTCGTTATTTTATTTCTATATTTAAATTTTTGTTCTATTTTGTTTATATTCGAATAACTCAGCCAGTTGACGGCCAACAGATTTGGCTAAAATCGTTTGCTTTTCATTAAATTTTTTTCTCAGCAAATTAAGGTGTTGTGTTTTTTGATTTACATACAAATGCTGAGTGAGTAAATATCTATACCTACCTGACCGTATCACTATCTATATATATATGTGTGTATATATATATATATATGATAATGGGTAAATACTTTAAACTTTAATTAAGTTAAATCAGATGCATTTATTTACAATTCGAATATCGTGCCGGTTATAAAACTTTAATGCATTTCGGAGTCATTGTACTGTTAAACAAACGAGACAATTTTAATAATTACAGAAATCTGTTTATGGATATAAAAAACATGTAATATTAATAATAAAATATTTAGAATTATTCATTTCGCCAGTAATAAGATGTCGAAATAATTCCTTAAAAATCTATTCCGAAGACTAATTTTATATTCGGTGTAAATTTTCTAAATATAGATTTGTTCATTTTTAAACCGTATTCTCGATGAAATTAAATATCGAAATAAAAAAGGATTAATTGCCGAACTATGGTTTTTACAGCTTTAACAGTTTATTTCTGGAAGCTTTTAGAATATAGCTGGCGACCATTTCGGACGTCACAAAAAAATAACCCGGTTGGCCGAACGACTCCTAAAACAGGGGAGTAATAGCGAAGTAAGTAACAGTTTTGCCAAAGTTCGTTTAGAGGGCGTTCAGAAATAAACGATCGTCATCTTTTCAACGCATTTTAAACCACGGTTCAGCCAGCCAACGTCTATAGGACGTTCCGTTAATAAACGTTGTTTAACGTAAACTCTGTCTGCAATCGGCTGTAAGAGTCTGGAATACGCTCCCCAACTGGCTAATATGGTTAATGCTATAAAAATCAAAACCATCCTCCTGCTCTCATCGTCCATTACATATTTCTCATTGTTAATTTATACGTATTACTAAGAATCATGATAATTTTCATTCCTTCTCGACAACTCTAGTAAATACAAAAAATGGAGAGAAATTGTTACTACCAAAATTAATAATGACCAAGTTTGTAATAAATTAAGGCCCAGTACAGTGTACATAAACATTCAGAAGCAAAGTGTCAACAAAAATCTCACGGATACTACGATTAATTAAAATGAGACCTGGATTAATGTTAGGAGGCTCCCTGCTGAATGGAGAGAACTCACGTGAAAAATTCTGAACAATATCGTGATGACTAGGGAGTATCTTCAGACCTACCAGCGTTTACGTTTTATCCGTTGTCCTCGATGTGATCATATCAAGAGTATCTTTCACATCTTTTTTGAGTGCCACATCGCTAAACAAAGTTGGCACTGGGTAGACGAAATTTTTAATACCTGTATCTCCTGACAAAACATTAAGTTTCACTCTAATTTCCCTGTTAAAAACCAAAATAATTACTTAATTAATCAGGTTACTGCTTTAACCAAGAGGGTCAACTGGATAGCGAGATGTACCTTTATTTTTGAAAATAAGTATGGGAACGCAAATCTTGTAATAAATAAAATCCGCAAAGTGGCTAATTTCAAACTAAAAGCTGGCCATGAGAACTTTTCTGATAGGGAACACAACGCGCTATACTTTGCGACTAAAAATATTATATAAAAAATGTTAGTAATAAATTTGTATTTAATGATCAGTGGCAATAAAACTACTTCTGCTTCGACTGTAACTGTAATCATCTACGCCTTTGTACGTAAAGAATACAAACTTTTATTGTAACTGTTTTACTCATAAAATTATTTCTGTTTAATATTAACCTTTGTATCAACTGTATTTTATAATATCTCGTAATTGTACAGCTTTTGTATAAATTCTCTGTAATTATAATTGCCAATGTTTGTGAAATGTAAAAGCGAAATATTAATGCCGTAAACGGTTTATTTGTAACTCATGTAAAACAATCTGTACTCAGTTTGAAGATATGATTTAACTGTTTTGTATGTTTGCAAAACGTAATTTTGGAAAATTTATACGATAATCGAGTTTTTTAAAAGAAAACTTGCCGTTCATTTCTGAACTATGAATGGGAAAAATTAAAGTTGTTTTTTCTTACTTTGAAAAAACTGCATTCTAATAGTAATATACATACACTAGTGCTAGACATAACAATTAATTATTAAGTAAATGATTACTAACTTTTTAAACAAATAATGCCAGAATTATCAAACCAACTCCGGAATTCCCTTATTGGACTTTATTCTCTTCATATATTTTTTAGAGAATAATACAAAAACGTGTGAACAAGACACGATAAGAAGATCTTCTGTGTTTCGAAAAATTGGATATGGTCCGATAAAGCAATTGGCAGTTCGTTTGATAATTGGTATAATTATCAGATTGATTAGATATGCAATACCTGAAATTCCATTTCAGATGTAAATGCAATAAGGAATTGAATATACGAAATTATTATTATTCCGTAATTCAGTATAAGTCCAATTTTGCTTCCTGCTTCAGCTAAATCAGCAAATATAAATTCAAAAATATTTATATTATAGATTTCGGACATTTAAATATATTCACCCACCTGAATTATTTGAAACAGCGAAAATAATAACAGTAATAATTAGATTTATAAAAGAAATTATGTGACCGTATATGGCAATCCATCGAACTAAACACACGTAAATAAACAACGTTGAAGTATGCTTATCCTGATACTTATTAAACATGGATTTAAATTTGCTTTCAGCGTTAAATGCTCTAATTGTCGTCAGTCCGTGAAGAGATACACTCAGATGAGAAAATACTGGACTTCTCACTGTCAAAAGAAATTTGTATATATAATTCAAGTATTTTATAAGGTTTGTATTATAGAATCAAATTATTTTATATTTTATATATAATAATGATTAACTTAATACATTTATAAAAGCACTAGAACGTATTAAGCTAATTTAACAAACGACTGATCAGAATTACATATAACTTAAAATGCAAGCAGAACATTGTACTCTTTATGTGAAACAACAACTGAAAAGGAAGACATTCTTCTTAATCAAAGATGTCCAACCCATTGTCCCCGGATCGCCCTGCAACTCACTTTATATTTTGATGCGGCGTATTGCATCCTAAATTTTTAAGGTACATTTTTATTTATTTTTGTAAAGTATGCGGTAAAAATTATTTTCGTTTCACTGATAACACTTTGATGTCATAATGAAAAAATTGGTGTCATAATACATACGTGATTAATCAAAAATGTTGGCGGCGTGGTCTCTCATTTTGATTGTTTCAGTTTCAAAGATTTTTAAAATGAAGTGATGTTAGTGATAAAGAATGGACATTTTTTATCAGACGGATGAAAACGACACAATTCCTCTTTTAAAAAAAAGTGACAGCCATTTTTAGTGACCCGAAGCTCGGCCTAATGCCAAAGTAGAATCGGTAATTTATTCTTTATATGTATAAAGAATAAATTACACATTTCCACTTTGGCATTTTTTTTAATTACAGGTGTATAATACAGACCTCGGTCTCTCTATGTATTACTTGTGCTAACGTAATAAATTAAATATTTTCAACCGTTAATTATATTCAAAATTATTTTATCAACGTTAAATTTATGATGACTAGGGAGTATCTTCAGACCTACCAGCGTTTACGTTTTATCCGTTGTCCTCGATGTGATCATATCAAGAATATCTTTCACATCTTTTTTGAGTGCCACATCGCTAAACAAAGTTGGCACTGGGTAGACGAAATTTTTAATACCTGTATCTCCTGACAAAACATTAAGTTTCACTCTAATTTCCCTGTTAAAAACCAAAATAATTACTTAATTAATCAGGTTACTGCTTTAACCAAGAGGGTCAACTGGATAGCGAGATGTACCTTTATTTTTGAAAATAAGTATGGGAACGCAAATCTTGTAATAAATAAAATCCGCAAAGTGGCTAATTTCAAACTAAAAGCTGGCCATGAGAACTTTTCTGATAGGGAACACAACGCGCTATACTTTGCGACTAAAAATATTATATAAAAAATGTTAGTAATAAATTTGTATTTAATGATCAGTGGCAATAAAACTACTTCTGCTTCGACTGTAACTGTAATCATCTACGCCTTTGTACGTAAAGAATACAAACTTTTATTGTAACTGTTTTACTCATAAAATTATTTCTGTTTAATATTAACCTTTGTATCAACTGTATTTTATAATATCTCGTAATTGTACAGCTTTTGTATAAATTCTCTGTAATTATAATTGCCAATGTTTGTGAAATGTAAAAGCGAAATATTAATGCCGTAAACGGTTTATTTGTAACTCATGTAAAACAATCTGTACTCAGTTTGAAGATATGATTTAACTGTTTTGTATGTTTGCAAAACGTAATTTTGGAAAATTTATACGATAATCGAGTTTTTTAAAAGAAAACTTGCCGTTCATTTCTGAACTATGAATGGGAAAAATTAAAGTTGTTTTTTCTTACTTTGAAAAAACTGCATTCTAATAGTAATATACATACACTAGTGCTAGACATAACAATTAATTATTAAGTAAATGATTACTAACTTTTTAAACAAATAATGCCAGAATTATCAAACCAACTCCGGAATTCCCTTATTGGACTTTATTCTCTTCATATATTTTTTAGAGAATAATACAAAAACGTGTGAACAAGACACGATAAGAAGATCTTCTGTGTTTCGAAAAATTGGATATGGTCCGATAAAGCAATTGGCAGTTCGTTTGATAATTGGTATAATTATCAGATTGATTAGATATGCAATACCTGAAATTCCATTTCAGATGTAAATGCAATAAGGAATTGAATATACGAAATTATTATTATTCCGTAATTCAGTATAAGTCCAATTTTGCTTCCTGCTTCAGCTAAATCAGCAAATATAAATTCAAAAATATTTATATTATAGATTTCGGACATTTAAATATATTCACCCACCTGAATTATTTGAAACAGCGAAAATAATAACAGTAATAATTAGATTTATAAAAGAAATTATGTGACCGTATATGGCAATCCATCGAACTAAACACACGTAAATAAACAACGTTGAAGTATGCTTATCCTGATACTTATTAAACATGGATTTAAATTTGCTTTCAGCGTTAAATGCTCTAATTGTCGTCAGTCCGTGAAGAGATACACTCAGATGAGAAAATACTGGACTTCTCACTGTCAAAAGAAATTTGTATATATAATTCAAGTATTTTATAAGGTTTGTATTATAGAATCAAATTATTTTATATTTTATATATAATAATGATTAACTTAATACATTTATAAAAGCACTAGAACGTATTAAGCTAATTTAACAAACGACTGATCAGAATTACATATAACTTAAAATGCAAGCAGAACATTGTACTCTTTATGTGAAACAACAACTGAAAAGGAAGACATTCTTCTTAATCAAAGATGTCCAACCCATTGTCCCCGGATCGCCCTGCAACTCACTTTATATTTTGATGCGGCGTATTGCATCCTAAATTTTTAAGGTACATTTTTATTTATTTTTGTAAAGTATGCGGTAAAAATTATTTTCGTTTCACTGATAACACTTTGATGTCATAATGAAAAAATTGGTGTCATAATACATACGTGATTAATCAAAAATGTTGGCGGCGTGGTCTCTCATTTTGATTGTTTCAGTTTCAAAGATTTTTAAAATGAAGTGATGTTAGTGATAAAGAATGGACATTTTTTATCAGACGGATGAAAACGACACAATTCCTCTTTTAAAAAAAAGTGACAGCCATTTTTAGTGACCCGAAGCTCGGCCTAATGCCAAAGTAGAATCGGTAATTTATTCTTTATATGTATAAAGAATAAATTACACATTTCCACTTTGGCATTTTTTTTAATTACAGGTGTATAATACAGACCTCGGTCTCTCTATGTATTACTTGTGCTAACGTAATAAATTAAATATTTTCAACCGTTAATTATATTCAAAATTATTTTATCAACGTTAAATTTATATTTTTAATAACCCAGCGTTCGGTCATGGTCCTAAACAAGGAAAAATTCAGTATTTCTTGGACGGAAAAATATTTCATAACTGAAACATATTATCTGTTTTATTTGCAAGGATTTTCATTTAAACTGATTGTCATTTATTTATCTTTACTGTAATTTTAAAAATACAATAAATTATGATGAGTTTTCTTAAAAGATTTAACAAGAAGATTTCTTTACTTCAAAAATAGAAACTGAATTAAAATTGTTTAGTAATCCATTTTTATTTAATTACAATCAAGTATTACTCGTTGGACTTAAACGCAGGGAATCTTTCTTTAAAAACTTATCATAATAAACATTCTTTTATTAAATTTTATAAACGATTTGGTTTTTTTGCATTGTAACTTTGCATCTTATAATGTTACGGAGTCTGCAACCCTGTTCACAAATTCCATCGCCAAAATTCTGCATGCAATTAAGTTAAATTTAATAAACTCTTTTAAATGCGAAATACTTACATTTTCCTTCCAAATGTTTTACGCTTTTCAACACTCGGGTAAAGATGGTCCACAGAGCACAGAATATTATTAAAAGAACAGCAATCAATATAAATAGATAGGGACAGAGTATCGCTTGCAAAACACACATGCCGGCAACAATAAACCATCCCTAAAATAAAAGAATATAAATTGCTAATAAGTAATTCGCGATGTTAAAATTTAAATTTTATAAATAATCTAATTTTTCCACTCCCATTAAAAGTGTCATCTCTGTGTTAATAATGCATACAGAGATCTGTAACCATTGTTGTTCAATACCTGTCTATTTTTTCGAGGTGATAACAATGACGAAGTTCAAAAAGATGTAAGGAAAAACTTTACAAAAATGGCGCAGTCATTATTCAAGAAAAAACTTGTTTATTTAAGCTGCGAAATGAAAGAAAAATTACAGAAAAACGAGGTAAGACCTGCAATGACGTAACGTGTTAGGACATGTGCCCGTGGGCGGAAAAAAATAAAGACAGTAAAAAGTACAATGTTGAAATAGGTGTGTAATGTGACGAAGGACAGAATTAAAATTGATTGCGTCAGAGAAAAAGTTAAAACGCGTAATATAAATAAGAAGATGCAAAAAAACGACACATAGACTTCGTTGTCGCTGACATAAATACATTAACACCAACGGTTTTTATGTTAAAAGTTAAATTACAGTGCTAATTTTCTATTTAGTGTGTTACATTTGTGTAAACAAAACACTGGTGTGTAATTCGCAAAAATGCCTTTGCAACTGGCCATTCGTGTTAAATGTTCATTACTTTCTATAATTTATTTTACATAGATCTATATATTAAAAATTAACTTACTCTTATCACCATGAAAGTATAGAAAGGTAACAAATCATCCATAGATTTAACATCTTTAGAAAACCGAATTAAGATTTTTCCTAGAAAATACATAAACCAAATATATTAATTAAATTAAATATTTATGTAAAAAATATTTATTCGAATATGATTATTAATAGAAATACAACGCAGCGTGGCTCTACAAATAACGTTTCCCGGGATTCTTATATATCAACCATTTTACTGTGTACATTTTATCGAAAATATGATTTTTAGCATTGAAGAAGTGAGTACTTGTTCAGAAGGCTTAGTCCAGTCAACTTGGTCAGCCCCTAAGCGGAAGTNGCTAACATCTGAAAGTTATAATAATCATCATTGAAGTATTCATAAATTAGTGTTTAGTTAATGCCAGCTACGGGAGACTACTTTGTAAATAAGTAACACAATACACGTATTTAATGATAAAAAGTTGATGAATGCCTAAGATCTAGAAGTCAGAAATAGTTTTCAAGAAGAGAAAGTGAAACAAAGCTATACTGTAATTAATTTAGAAACTGGTGTAGGAAGTCTGCTATGTCTTCTAAGCATTGACATAGTCCACAGAGTTGAATGCGATGAAACGATTACATATTGCAACATAAAAGTATTATGGGGATTATAAAATATTATTAATTTATTTTTTCTATTAGCTTATATTTATACAAATTAAACATATGGATAAAAATCTTTTCGTATTGAATGTAAACTATACAGTAATTTATAATTTTACTCACCGTATTAATATGAAAATAAGACTGATGTTTATCAGCATCTGGTTTTAATCCTTTAATCATTTCGTGAAAAATTGGATCAGCGCCATAAAAGTGGGGTTTAGAATAAGTTATAGGTAATCCTTAAAAATAAATATTAATATTAATAGACAGTTATAGACAGAAAGTTAAGGTATATAAATTTAACTTTGAATATATAACATATTTTATATATATTTAACTGATGCTTTAATGATAAGAGCTTATTTTTAATCTATAATTTGGAAATTACAAGCCATTTATATATTTTATATTGATTTATTTATTTCAAAAAGAAACTTTCATTAAAAATGTCAAGGAAAAGAATGTAATGAGAACGAATTCAGCAAAAGTTTATAACTATTAAAAGAAATTAAAGCATTATGAATGACAGGGATATCATTCTTAATGTTAATTTCGTTGAAGGATTTAAGCAATAATTATATTAATTTACTTTTATTTTTAATCTCAATACAAAATATTAAAGTTTAAATAATCAAAATTGTTATAAATTTTTTATTCAGAACATAAATTTAATTAGAGAATAATTTGTTATAATTTAAAGCAAGTTTTTTTTCATTTTTGACACTTTCTTCCCTACGGACACAAATAGGGCCTTTTTCAGCCTTATCCATGGTGAGGATCTGGCTCCCATCATAGATATGGCCGGGCCTTATACTGCTGAGTCCACAATGTGACGACTGGGTGGTGAGGGATTGGCTCCGACATATCCGGGACAGACCGTCCATGAAAAATTCTTGGAATTGCTTTCCCGGATTAGATTCAAGATCCCCGAGAGCGGTAGGCTGACGCATTTGTCACCTTGGTCATCTTATTGTCAATTCAAAGTAATTATAAGCATTAAAATGAAATATAATACATACCAAACATGCATTTCCCTAAGGGGAGAGTTCCGTTATATCGGCAATATTCGTTATCCGGGCAGAAGCACTTGTTTGCTCTGATGTAGTGAGGGCTGATAAACATAGAATCCATATAGAATTTTTTGGTTGGAATGCCGTATATATCATCATTTCCCATATAATCCAATCTCATAGATCTGAAAACGAATAAAAAAAACACTTTTTTTTTATTTCCTCCAATTGTTACAACTTAAAGAATTTTCGGAGCCGTAAAATGGCGATAAAAATCCAACATTTTGTTTTACTTTTGAATTAATTACTACAAAAACAACAATTTTTATTGTAAAAATTTAATTATTTTACATTTTTCGATGTTTAATGTAAAATATTACCATCTTACGTCATAATATGTATCCCAAATTATTTTTTCTAAATAGTTTAGTAATTTGTTCCTACAGATTTGCCATTTTATTCTGAGAAGGAAAGCAAATTATGCAATTATCTTTCATTTTAGTGCAGACTTATTAAATAAATAAATAAATTTATAAAATTTTATATTAAAATAAAGGAAAATGCTAATTTAATAAGAGAAAGGAAGCGTAGAAAGAGCATGGACACGTGGATGCCTAGAATCATCTCCATTCTGCAAATGCTTAAAAGTATATGCTTGTAGCAAAAACACGACGGAAGATTTTAAAAACTTTAGAAAAATCTTATACCTGCAAAACGGTCCTAAAAAAAAGTATTGGATTTTCCTCCTGATGGGATATCGGAATGTTACACCCTCTAAAACAATAAACATATGTGATTATTTAAATAAATTTTGTTAAAGATTAAATTTTAAATAAATTATATCTGTTATTAATACGTTAAGTTAAACTTCAAATGATTGAAATTTGAATAAAATTCAATATTTATTAGTAATTTTTTGTTGACACAATGGTTCAAGTGGTGAAAGCATCATCAACTTGGAACTCTACAGTAATGGCCCGTATTCTCAACCAAGGATCAAAAGTATATTAGATGCTAACTAATTACCATTTACTTTACTTTTAGTACATGAATGCTTATTATTTAATTTATAACACTAACTCTGCACATCAGTGGCTGAGTGAATAAAATCACCGAAAACTGATCGTTGGTTATGGGTTTGTGCCTGATCGCAGGAAGTTTTCCGGTTCTTCTTCATGTGTCTAACACCTAAATAGGGGCGAGTTTTCCATAGAAATTTTCCTATCAGGCACCTCCCCTTGGCAAAATCAAAATCACTCCCGTGTTGTATTTCCTAAGACATCAATCTAATCAAATCCTAACCTATAACTCTTGAGCTTTGGCTGTGAATATGAATATGAGATCCAGATTCAATTCCGAATAGGAACCTCAATAATTTCCACTTGTTTTTGATCCGGACATGATTGGCCTCTCCTTATAAGCTGGCCTTACCGAATTCACGGTAGGCATTGAAGAAAAAGGCCTTTTGGTACCACAAGACGGGTTTAAAAAATTCATACTTTTTAATAAAAAAAAAAAATTATTTACAAAAAAAAATTTTTTATATTAAATTTATATACTAATTAATTTTTGTACCTCAGAATGCATCATTTCTATACTACTTATATTAGCTGCAAGGACCCGCTTCGCTGGGCAGAAAGTAACTATAGTGAAAATTAAGATAATTACATTATAGCTAATCTTACCTGTTTTCACAGAATGCAAGAATTAGGTCCCCCATTTCCAGACTAATTAAAGAATTTTTACGTCCAGTCAAACGAACTATTTTCAATTTGATCAATTTTCTGGAACGTTTACAATCGTTCTATAATCGAACCAATATTCGAATTTTATTCGAACAAATTCGAACTTGATTCGAACAAATTCGAACAAAACATTCAGTAACAAAACAGAACAAAACAGAAATAGTAAGCCACTTTTAACCACTTTCAAGCCCATATCTCTTGCACCCTTATAGCTATCGAAACGCAACCATTCCTATGCACGAACGGAGAGTTGGGGCTACTACCACATTCAAACACCATTCACGTGCGATGCGTAGTTTTGGCGAAAAAGTGAAATATAGGAACATACATGTCCATTTATATATATATAGATATAGATATATCGATATTTTATTCGTTATTTTATTTCTATATTTAAATTTTTGTTCTATTTTGTTTATATTCGAATAACTCAGCCAGTTGACGGCCAACAGATTTGGCTAAAATCGTTTGCTTTTCATTAAATTTTTTTCTCAGCAAATTAAGGTGTTGTGTTTTTTGATTTACATACAAATGCTGAGTGAGTAAATATCTATACCTACCTGACCGTATCACTATCTATATATATATGTGTGTATATATATATATATATGATAATGGGTAAATACTTTAAACTTTAATTAAGTTAAATCAGATGCATTTATTTACAATTCGAATATCGTGCCGGTTATAAAACTTTAATGCATTTCGGAGTCATTGTACTGTTAAACAAACGAGACAATTTTAATAATTACAGAAATCTGTTTATGGATATAAAAAACATGTAATATTAATAATAAAATATTTAGAATTATTCATTTCGCCAGTAATAAGATGTCGAAATAATTCCTTAAAAATCTATTCCGAAGACTAATTTTATATTCGGTGTAAATTTTCTAAATATAGATTTGTTCATTTTTAAACCGTATTCTCGATGAAATTAAATATCGAAATAAAAAAGGATTAATTGCCGAACTATGGTTTTTACAGCTTTAACAGTTTATTTCTGGAAGCTTTTAGAATATAGCTGGCGACCATTTCGGACGTCACAAAAAAATAACCCGGTTGGCCGAACGACTCCTAAAACAGGGGAGTAATAGCGAAGTAAGTAACAGTTTTGCCAAAGTTCGTTTAGAGGGCGTTCAGAAATAAACGATCGTCATCTTTTCAACGCATTTTAAACCACGGTTCAGCCAGCCAACGTCTATAGGACGTTCCGTTAATAAACGTTGTTTAACGTAAACTCTGTCTGCAATCGGCTGTAAGAGTCTGGAATACGCTCCCCAACTGGCTAATATGGTTAATGCTATAAAAATCAAAACCATCCTCCTGCTCTCATCGTCCATTACATATTTCTCATTGTTAATTTATACGTATTACTAAGAATCATGATAATTTTCATTCCTTCTCGACAACTCTAGTAAATACAAAAAATGGAGAGAAATTGTTACTACCAAAATTAATAATGACCAAGTTTGTAATAAATTAAGGCCCAGTACAGTGTACATAAACATTCAGAAGCAAAGTGTCAACAAAAATCTCACGGATACTACGATTAATTAAAATGAGACCTGGATTAATGTTAGGAGGCTCCCTGCTGAATGGAGAGAACTCACGTGAAAAATTCTGAACAATATCGTGATGACTAGGGAGTATCTTCAGACCTACCAGCGTTTACGTTTTATCCGTTGTC